AACGCTTTCGCGCAGATTGTGAGTCATGACCCGTTCCCATGACCCGTAAGTTCGGTCATTTTCCATACAAATTGACTGAAGACTTCTTTTATTGGTGTAATCCAATTGGAGAAGATGAAAGAAGTGATCCGAATTTTTCCTTTCTGGTCTTATCATTAATCCAACTTACAAACATAACTACAGCACCGGAATGAACAGCTAGTAGTGCGCACCAAACATCAGCCGGCGTTGTTGTGGCAACATAGACTCCGGAGAGATAAATAAATAAAGAACACTGAAAGTTGACGTTTTCAGTTTGTAATAGATTCTATCATTTATAGCTTACGAAGGCTATTTGCAGCGCTACAGAGGCTAATATAAGCATTAGTCTAGTACCGTAATCGGTGCGATCAATGTAGAAAGATAACCATGCGATGAAAAGCATCAGCGAAGTTGGTATGTAAAACCTATAGAGAGCTATGGATAACGGTCGCTTGAGCTCAAGTCGGATGCCTATACACGCGTGCGACACTGAAAAGTAATAAAACCAATGAGTTTAGCTAGTGATCATATCTACCAAATGTTGATCTTGCAGAATTTGATGGTGTCAGTCCCAAGTTATGCATGCATGTGATAGGTATCACCTAAAAGCAAAGTATTGTATGTACACACGGTGGCAGCCGAGAAAGTCGTTGCAAAATTTTTTATTACTCACTTGACTCATTCTTCCTTGTGAATAATTTATTCAAAAGTTTAGAACTCAATTTTTTTTTATAGAAAGAGGATCCGGAGTCACAGGCCGGCAAGAAATATAGAAATCTCCCAAAAAATTTTTTGGAGGTGTGGTAACGTTCAAAACGAATTCTTGTCACCCCTTCTTCTCCCCCGAATATTTTCGGAGAGTCATTTGTCCATATATGGGGTACGCCACAATTACCGGCTCGAGTTTCTCTGGCTGCCACAAGACTACAAGACGGTTTGACGGCGGATCAAGCATACATCTATTCCCACCAACCATTATCGTCGCGGTACAGTAGTCAAATCAGAATACATCCTTTACCTTTCGAAAAAATCCCGATTACCTTTCGAAAAAATCCCGATTTTTGTCGTTCACTGAAGTGCACTCTGTACGCAGGCACAACCTAGAGAACTTACACATTATCTTTTTGCAACCCTTTTCTCGTCCCTTGGAATTGCGCATCAAATTAGAGCAGACATCTGTTTCAAACACTGTTCAGCAAAAGTTTTAAAAGTTGATTCAAAAGTATTTTTCATTTTTTAAAGAACATGTTTGAGAGGCAGCATAAAGAATATCAGGGGTATTTCGGTCCTCATGGGTGC